TACCTAATATATAGAATTTTTACTTAAAGAAAATTACGATTTGAACAAAATGGAAAATTTTCTTTTTATTTTATGGATTATCACATGCCCAAAAATATTTGAAACTTTTTCGACTTTCTAACGAAAGTTTAAAATTTTTCCCACAAAATTGTTTTTTAAAAATATGTCTAAAATTTGTTATTACTATTATATTAAATAAAAGGAGCATTCTGACTATTGCTCATAAAATATTAAAAATCATTTCAATTTAAAAAAAAAATCAATTCTTACAGCTGAAATTTTGCTCTATCATATAATACACACATACACATACGCGCACGTACACACACACACACACACACACACACACACACACACACACACACACACACACACACATATATATATTAGGTTGAAACAAGAATTCGTTGCCCTATTTTATTTATATCATATTTAAATGTTTTAAAAAAAATTTGTAATTACATATATGTGTATATACGTATATATACGTGTACGCAACACAAACTATTATTATTATTTATGTTATTTCATGCACAAAATAATTTATTTAATATGAAATCAAAATTATCTTATTAGAATTTTAATTTAAATTTCTATTAGCAAACAATTTTCGCGAAAATAACTTGATATTTATGTCATGTCTATCTATATCGTGTTGTTTGAAACTATCACTAAAATAGAATAAATAAACTTTTTCAAAATGAGGCATACTTTAATAACATATTTTTATACTTTAGTAAGATTTTTGAAAAAGTTACATTAGTATTTTGACATTAATCTTTTGTACTGTAATATTTATTGCTCTGTTGAAAGTAAATTTTTGACTGCAATTCTTGTGAAATTTTTAATTGTGTAATATTTATCGTTTTGTATGTAATATATTTCGTATAAGAATGATATTTCGAAATAAGAAAGATGTGATCATAATTTTTAGAATATTTTTAATTTTTATAAGAAATTTTTAAACAAATATAAAAAAATAAAATATTGTTAAATTTCTTGAGCAAGTAAATTAAATTTAATTAATTCACATAAAGTTATTAAATTTTTATACACGTTTTTAAATTAATTTTATACGTGTATTGAAGATCTTAAAGCTACTAAAAATTTTTTAATTTTTAGAGATGTATTTTAAAAAATATAAAATAATTAAAGATTATTAATGTGTAGCAAATCGCATAGTTTGTTAGTTTGTATAACATTCGGATATATGTAAATATGAATTTTCGAGAGTTTGTAAATAGTAATTCACCTGCGTTATACAATCGAGACGTTTCGCTGCAAAACATCCGTACAATTATTATAGAACTATAGAAACATTGTCATTGCCTCAATTCAAATTAATTCTAATTCTATCGTTAATATCGACGTGTATTTCAGCAGGTATAACAGGCAGGAAAAGAGAAATAGAGAGAGAGAAAGAGAGAGAGAGAGAGAGAGAGAGAGAGAGAGAGAGAGAGAGAGAGAAATTCTTACATAGAAACTTCACACACTTGACAGAAATTATATCGGCTACCTATGTATTCATGCATTCAATTCTCATTCAACTACCTACCTTAATATAACCCTCACATATATGTTCGAGCACGTGAAATGCGTCACATTACACAACCATTCGAAACACGCTGTAATATTCGGCACAAGGTCGCTGGACCGTTTTTCGAGCCAGTTTCTTAACAAACATGGTGTGATTTCATGTATCCAAGGAAAACGGATTCTGCTCTTTCAAAGCGACATCAAAAGCGCGTAAACATGCGTAATTTATGGATAGTTCAGTCAATGTCTCCAAGCAAATGACTCCAAACTCATGTAATTCTGAATTTGATTAGTTAGACTTGAAAATATAAGAATAATATTGATATCGTTTGTATCTAATTTTTATGATCTAGTTCGATTAAATCCGAAGTGACATATGAAGTAATATTGGGTTATCCGGAAAGTTCGTACCGATTTTGAAGAAAAATTGAACGTAGAAGATTTAAATTTTTAATTTTATTTATTAAATTTAAATTTTTTGCGGCACGAACTTTCCGGACAATACTAATAAAATAATACTGATATGAATCTAATTCTTCAATTAACAGTAATTATTGTAATAGTTTAATTATCGTCCTTACTGAATACCAATAAATGAGCATATCAGATTGCAGGAATTATATTCACGTAACGGTTAATAATTATACACAAAATAGACGAAGAATAGTAAAACGGCGAAAGTTTAAAGATATAGCTAAACTAAAAATTTAAAGATATAGCTAAACTAAAATATATGCCGATTTGATATTGACAGATTGAAATATTAGTAGATTATCGTTTTCCAATGTGTGACAATATGCATGCTATGTAACGAGTGTCAACATTACTTATTCTAACGGATATTGGCAAATTTCCGATTTTTTTTCTATTCAAAAACGTGTACTTCACGGTGATAATATAGTTTCCGCTTAAAATTAGGAACAATCGACCTCAACTACGACAAGAAAATCGCATAATGTAAATTGTTTTATAACCGAAGACGCATAGTAAATATCAATTTGTTCCGCAAGAATCAGAACTTACTGTTTTTTTCCTTATTTTTTTTTTAAATTTTGTTAGAATGTATCCTATGATTATTGATTATTCTTGAATTATTGCTGTAACGTGTTATATCTCTTTAAGATAGATTATTCGTTTCTTTATAATTATTTTAAACTAATAAATTAAAACATTTTTCATGTAAAATATTGTAATTACATTCTTTTATTTACTAATCCTTAAAAAATTACGTACGTTAAAACATAGTTATTTCTTAAAGTATTCAAGGCAAAAGACATTTATGTCATATATTGTTACGATATATATCATTTCTAAGTCAAAGATTTGTCAAATGATTGTCAATACATAGTAAGACAGTAAGAAAAAAAGATAATAAGAAATAAAAATTACAACTTTATAATAACTTACAATAAAATGTCACAACAAATTGATCAAGATTTATCTAAATACCTTTGATAAAAAGAATTTATCTTAGTTTACTGTCAATATGTATATTCTATCAGAAAATTAATAGTTTTCAGTTATATAAAATCTTTAAAAGTTCAATATTAATTAAATGAAAAAACATTTTAAATAGGTACTTCAATATTTAAACGCGTGCTTTCTTTGAGCTCGTTAATCATAATAGAATTCTTTAGATTTTTATTGCCTTGTTAGACCTAAGATGAAGAGATGATAAAGTAATTGTACTTAATTAAGTTCTTCAACATCGTTAGTTTCCACCGAGATTAATAATAATCGTCATGCAGAAAATGAAGAAAGACGTTTACACGAAAGATTTCGACGAATGATTTCATGTGTGTGTGACACAATATGTCTGTGCAAAGCTTTGAAGATATTTTATTCTAGTCAAGGCTAAGATCTCTCCGACAGTAGTGTGTCGAAAGAGTGGTAACGCACCGTTGCTTTTATCCAAATCGAGGACATTAAAACACTTGAGAATTGCAAATAATTACTTTCAAGTTAACGATAACGAAACTTTCTTGCGTTATCCTTTAAATATCTATTATCTAAAATTCATACTCTTTAAGTATCAATTGCCAATTAATTCAATCTATACTGATATTCATGTATAATTTAGTCTAAATGTATGCACAAAACTTAAAATTGACGAAAATTAAATATGGTTTATCTAAGATTTATGTAAAAAATATTTTGCATATATA